GGGGGATGAGCAATCCAGACAGAGGGACAGCATGTGCAAAGGCCCTGGGGTAGGAAAGGTGCTGGTGTGTTAGAGGAATAGTTAGGAGGCCAACAAAGCTTTCTTGAAGCTGACAAGTGGGAAAAGAACAGGGGATGAGGTTGGACAGGCAAGGAGAGAGATGTGCTTCTTTGCATCAACAATATGTATCTTGATTAAAATTTTTTTCAAATTCCCCCTTGACCGTAAGGCACTAAATATTAAAAATAATCTTTTAGATTGTTATTGTAGGGGAGGAACACTTTTTCTCTACCCTTCTGGGTTCTTTTGGTTGGTCTATTGATTAAACTGATGTAAGACAGATTAACAGGAGAAAAACAAATTTAATTATGTATGTATGGGCGCTCCATAAAAATATGAGAACCGAGGCCAAATCCAGCAGCTGACACTTCTATGCCACCCTGAGCTAAGGAACGGGATAGTGGCCTGGGGCTTCAAAGGGGAGGGCGGTAATTCACAGGACAATAAGAAGAGGAGATGTTTGGTAGTTAGACGTTTGCCCTGCCATACAGTTAGGGTATTCAGATAAAAGTTATCTCCAGTAATAGCTCTCTTTCTGAACCAGACCCCCTGTCTAACTATTTTAGGTGGTTAAGGGAGACGTAAAAATATTTCTTGAGTCTGTATGCTGGACTTGACTGCCTTCAGCTCAAAATAATCTACAGGCCAAAGTAGGTTATTTTGGGGTCACATATTCTGCTCTTCATTATCATTACAATTAATGGTCACATGCATTCTATTAAAATTGTTAATAATAATTTAACACAGAGAAGTATTGGTTGAAAAATGGATGTTTTAATGAAATGGACAGTTTTTTCCCCAGTTAGTTGTTTTATCTGTGAATTACTTTACTCATTGCTAGAAGGAGGCAGGGTTCAGCACCCATCAGAGACCTAATTTTCATCTTTAGAGATCTAAGTGCTACAAAAAATTCTGTATACTTTTTCAACAAATAAGCAGATGGACATGAGAGTAGTTTGATTAAAACAGTGTTGCTCAATTCTTTGAACTGCTTTCAATGTAGATGACAAAAATCACGTGGGGTTGTATTATCAAAAAACGTTTCTCAACAACTCCAAGAAGATTAAGACTAGGAACAGTAGTAACACTCTTCTTTTGTTGAAAGAAAATTGAAAACCACCTGGCTTATTTCCTGGACATTCTAGGATCACTCATAGCCCATTTATTCCAAGTCCTGGAGGTGACGTTCCAAGGCAGTGCTCTTGAGTATGGACTGAGGCAAAGAGAAAATGCTTCACAAGGAGGGGGAAGGAACATTTGAGGAAGGGAAGGTGGGAAGGTTTGTGGACGAAGCCACTCTTGAAAAGAGGGTTCTTGGGAAAGAGCACAGAAAAACTGAGGATCAGTAACTGGATTCTCTTAAATATCCTATAAACGAACCCACGGACAGTTTTTTTATATCCCTTCTCCAACCTGCTGGACTCACAACGTAGTGATGCATGGAAGATGCATCTGTGGATTCTGGGTTTAAATCCTGAGTCTCCCCTTTATTATCAGTGTGTTCTCAGACTGCTTAACTAAGTTGACTAAGCCTCAATTTCCTCCTCTGTAGAATGGGGACAAGAATAAAGAAATAAAAGAACAAGAAAATAAAGGGCTTGGCCATGTGGTACCCAGCACAAGGCAAGTGCTCAGAGGATCTTAGCTGCTATTGTGATAATACTTTACATCTGTCTTTGGTAGTGCTTTATCACCATTTGGCCATTATTATTCTCATTAATTAGGCTATCTTGGGAGTGAGAGAGCCCGAGTGGCAGGGCTTCTGAATCCCACCTTCTTGCAACCCAAGTAGCTCCACTCTCATCTGTTTTTCTATTTGGGCTGTCCAGAAACCCTCACTAATTTTTCCATCTTGATTATACTGTAGTATAATCACCTCGACCCAGGCAGAAACCAACTGATGAGAGAGCTCAGTTTGAACACCCCTGGTGCAACATGGGCTGCCAGTTATCAACTTCACCCCACCTCCTCTGGTCACTTTGCAGGACCCCATGTTTGGTTGGGTTTAAATGTCACCCCATCATCTCTGTGGCTTAGGTTGGAAGCATGTGCAGCAAAGTCAGGATAACCTGCATTCAAATCTCAGCTCTGCTCTCGGGCGCTGGGTGACCGCAAATCCCCTCTCTGAGTCTCAGTTTCCTCATCTATAAAGTGGAGTTAATGGTTGCACTTGCTGTGAAGCGCTGTTGTGATGGCTGAATGAATCTCATGCCAAGAGCTTGTCACTCTGCCAGGTACCAAGTAAACTCATCCACTGTTGCTGTTAGGATTTGCACAAGGAGCCCCGCAGGAGAGCTCAGGAGGCCTGGGTTGCCATCAAGCACTGCCTTTTCCTCACCAGGTAGCCCTGGCAAGTCACACCTTTCCCGTGCCTCAGTTCCCACCTCTGTGAAATGCGAATCCCAATCCCTCCTTTGCCTCACGGTTCCCAGATGAAGGTCAGATGAGGTCACAGCTACAACCTGCTTTGGAACCCTCCGGTGAGAGACAGGTTGCCCAAGTCTGGGAAGAAGCAGCGAGGCCTACACCTGGCTCCCGGCAGTACCCTGGAGAGAGGATAGGACCCCAGAGGTTCGAGGCTGTGTGGGAGCCAAGGTGCCAGGACACAGCCTGGGCAAAGACGTACAGGCTCAAACCTGGCTCCCCAAGCAGTAGAGCTGCCTAAATTCAAAGGATCGCAGGGAGGGGATGCTGTCCTACTCATGCATCCTGGAATATAGTAGTTGCTCATTAGATGAAGAATCAGATGTGTGACTCACAATAGGGTAGCGACAGGAGATGGGAGACTTTTCTGGTCCAGAAACCAGGGAACAAGGACTGAACCGGGACAGGGACAACAGAATAGTTTGAAAGGTCCCAGCAGCTTGGAGTGGGGGCTGGAGCAAGTCTGAGATGGAGGAAGAAGACGGGTAGAGGGAGGGCAGAGAGAGCTCTGAGGGTGCCGCCTCAGTGACTGGGAGAAAGGCGCAGAATTCCCCAGGGGGAGATACATGATGCAGGCTAACAGGTGGGTTGTCAGCATTCAGGTGGGGCAGGGGCAGGGGCGGGGCCCTTGAGGGTCAGCTCAGGGCTCAGAACAAGGGCTCTTTATCGCTGGCCCCCTTAGCTCCCCTAAGGCAACTGCCTGTTTTTTTGTTTGTTTGTTTGTTTTTGCGGTAGGCGGGCCTCTCACTGCTGTGGCCTCTTCCGTTGCAGAGCACGGGCTCCGGACGTGCAGGCTCAGCGGCCATGGCTCATGGGCCCAGGCGCTCCGCGGCATGTGGGGTCTTCCCAGACCCGGACACGAACCCGTGTCCCCTGCATCGGCAGGTGGACTCTCAACCACTGCACCACCAGGGAAGCCCCTGCCTGGTTTGTTTTTATCAAGCCCAGGCCATGGCAACTTCTGCGTTTGCACTTTTCAGAGTCACCTCTTGCCTGGAAAGCGACTGGGGGTGGGAGTTGAAGGCTGGTTAACTCTGTCACAGTTGGTTCGTACCTCGATGCAGGGGAGAGGAACAGACTCAAGGGCTTGGGGGGAATCCCTTGAAACACCCTACAAGTAAGGCAAGCCCAACCGAGTTCAGGGCTGAGCATCGAATATCAGGTCTAAAACCAACCCTGTCACCTGCTTGCTCTTCCCCAGCCTCAGTGTCCCTGACTGCACAGTGGGGATGGTAGACTAAAGGAATATTCCTCAAAGTCTTTCCCCCAATCTATCTGTGAAACTTGTTAAACTCAGATTCCAGTCCCCCATCTTGAAGCTACTGAGTCAGAAGCTCTGAGGAGTAGGGGGCCTGGGAACCTGCATCTTTACATGTTGCCCGGGGATTCTGTGCTCACTAGGATTTGAGACCCGGAGATGATGCAGAAGGAGCTTTGATGTGGACTCAGGGAACTTGGTCCTGAGCCTACCATACTACTCCTGGCATGTGGCCCTGGGCTAGTCCCGTTGCCTCTCTGGACCTCCATTTCCCTTTTTTTCCAAAACAGCAAAGGCCGTGCTTAAAGATCTGCAAGGGGGTGGGGTCTGCATTTCTTGAGCATCTGTCAGGTGCCCAGCAACACACACCTGGGCTTTTAGGTTGACTGTGTCGTTGAATCACACACATTGACTCTACTCCAGAATCATGTGCAAAATGGAAAGTTTAACCATTTGAGAACGAGACTGGACAACATTGGTGGAGTGCCTGCATCCAGTCAGAGACCCTTTGGTGTGGCAGGAAGAGGGTGGTAGCTGGGGGCACGGGAGCCTCCCGTGCCTAAGCTTAGACCTCGGGGCTCGGCAGTGGAGAACCTCAGAGGCTCAGATCGGGCGGCCATCCTCTTCACACAGGGAAGTCCTGGGAGAAGGAAATGCCAGTATCCAGCTGACCAGGCCTTTCCCAGTGGCCTCCTCTCTTGCTTCAAGGCCCTGACTGAGGCTCCAGCCTTTCCCACCGCGGTCTGCCTTGTCCACTTCGGCATATCCAACACCAATGTCAGGTTCTTCCTCCCCCTGCCCCCCAACCACCGCACGACCTTCCATAGCTCCCCATTGCCTACCAGAGAAAATTCAAACTCTTTGGCCAGCCTTCCAGGCTGCTCACCTGCTCTGATCGGACTATTGCTTTTTGTCTTCCCCAAACCCTCTGGGCTTCCTTACTCTCTGCCTTTACTCACTGCGGTGCAGTGGAAGAGAGCAAGTTCTGAAGCCAAATGCAGGCCAGGTTCCCGGCAAGTCACTTAGACTCCTGGAGCTCACATGCTCATCTGTGAAGTGAGGATCATACCCTTTATCCCCCAGAATGGCTGTGACAATTTCACAAGACAATGGGTGGGAAATTCCTGGCACTTGCTAGGCCTTTCGTCAAGGGTGCTGTTTCCCCTCCGCCCTCTCCGCCCTGTCGAACCTGACCTGCATTAATGGGTTTAAACTTGGAGCATACTTCTCCCCCTCACGCTTTGATCCAAAGACGCACCCGAAAATGCCCGAAGGCGCAAAGCTTTTTTGTTGTGGGTGCTGCCTTCTCCGAGGTTCCCAGATTGCTTTCAGGTGGTAGCTGTGGGCTCCCACCATGTCCGGAAGCACGGGGATGCACAGGGCCGGAGGGGTCTCAGGAAGGGCATGCTCAAAGAAGAGGCGCTCTTGGGCTGGGATGGCGCTGGCACGGGGAGGGCCGCGCAGAGCAGTGACACCCCGGCGGCTGGAGCAGCACAGAATGTGGAACCACTGGCCAGGGAGTGCAGTCCCCCATGCGGTCCGTTGCTTTTCGGGTGACATCATCTGTGAGCAACGATCCCCGGATCCCCGGTGGAGGTCCCGGCAAAAGGACCACTGGAATACAGGGATAACATCACCTCCAGGCAAAGCCAAGACACAGAAAAGCGCATGCAGGGAACACACATGCGCACGCACACACACACATACTCTCCTCAGCCTTCCTCTCGCTCTGCCAATTCCTTGTTACCCCCCCCCCC